AGCTCAATGCTATGCACATGCAGCCAACTGACATTAAGAGGATGCAAAGGATGGTGTGAGGGACTTCCTGGTCAGTCCATCTGGTACATCACTGCCTCACATCTCAGCAAGTGATGATCAGGTGAATAATTACAACTTTATTTGGGAACCAAAGCCAACCAAGACAGGGAACTTGGAAAGGTGTCTGTGTCTAGTGGTCCCCAATCTCCATCTGCTCTCCCCACAGTAATACCATATTTAGATGGGCAGGTGCTGGTCCAGAAGCTATAGATCATCTCTAGACTATATTTCCTTCTATGCAGCTAGGGGGGCTATTCACAAATAAGCCTTTAGATATGCAAATTTGTTACTGAGCTGTTGCTACCTGGGGCAAAGAGGCTTTTTTTCTTTTTTAATTGAATCTGTTGAGAACTGATGCTTTTGTAAAATACAATACAAATTAACTATAAAATGAGCCAGGCATCTGGATCTCCTGGCAATGTCACATTGCTGTTAAAACTTTCCAAGTACTTGACTCTCAATTTCTGTGCTTATCTCAGCGCAGACTGTCCAATAGGATGTGAGAGGAAGGTATGTAGACGACATGCAGGTCATGCTTTGAAAGGGAAGGGGCGTGGTCTCCCTTGCTCCTCCACGGTCCCCTTCTTATTGGCTAAAATGCAGCTGGCCCGTGAACTACCTGGGACCACATAGACATAACCAGTGTGTTAGGAGGATAGAGAAACAAGGCAGAGGAAGTCTGGGCTCCATTGACTTCACTGAGCAAATTGCCTCACCAGCTTGAACTTCTACACTTCTATCTGGTTCAGGAGACATTGGTCACAATGGCAAACCTATACCTTATCAATATATGGACTCAAGGCCAGATTGCTAGTTGGAACATCTCTATACATATGGATGTCTGAGTATATAAACAAGTATTAAAAATCCTCTCAGCAGTGTTCTGCAGTTTTCAATGTAGAGATTTTGCAAGTATTTTGTTAAATTTAAAAGTGTTTTATGTTTTTATGCTATTATAAAAGGAGTTGGTTTAAAAAAAATACATCAAAGTCACAATAAGGTCCTACTGTATAGCACAGGGAACTATATTCAATATCTTGTAATAACCTATAATAGACAAGAATCTGAAAAAGAATAGATATATATGTGTGTGTATATATATATATGTATAACTGAATCACTTTGCTGTACATCTGAAACTAACACATTATAAATCAACTATACTTCAATAAACAAATAATAATAATAACTTGGAAAAAATACATCAAAGTCCAACTGACTCTATGTCTAAATATTTGGGTAACACACCTTGAAATTCTTATTGGTTTGGTCCCTTAGTAAAAACAGAGTCAGAAATTTACCTCCTTTCCCTCCATGTGGAGACAGGCTACTGTCTCCCTTGAGCTCTGACAGCCTCTGCGCAAAGATACACCTTGGTCATAAAAATCAATATATGATTATATGTATCCTAAAAATATCATTCAGCAATGAAATAGTTTGCTATGGAACATATGGTTTTTTTCCTGGGAGTTGAAGGAATTTGATAATGTTTTTGTATTAAATTTTGAAGCAAGTTGACAGAAAGCAGCCCATCTGCAATTGTTCCACACATAATGCACATTGACCACGGACAGGATTTAAAAAGGTGTTGGATTAGGATGCAAAAAAAAATAAAGTCAGTTTAAAAGCACTTTACCTGTATTCCTGAATAATGAGCTATTAAAAGAACTGCCTTTAAAAAGACCTTTATCGAGTTGATAATTTAATAATCTTATTAATTTAGAACTGATTGCTATTTATCCCAATGTGTGTGTGTGTGTGTGTGTGTGTGTGTGTGTGTGTGTGTGTGTGTTTAAAGGTATCTCATTTATTTTAAGCCTTGAGTAGAGCTTTCTGAACTGTCCAGGTTGGAGCTACTGAAAGTGAGTTTTGTGACCAGTGTGGTCCAGGAATTGTTTGTAATCCATCTGTACTAAGAACAGAGATTGGGAGTCAAGTACTTAGAGACATTTATAGCAACATGACATCGCTGTGAGATCCAAACACAAGTTCCACTTTCTAACAACTAATTTTTCTTGTAGAGTATTGATACAAAAGCACCAGTTCTGAACAGACTTGACATTTTAAAAAAATGGCCTTTCACCACAGATAGCAATTGGTCTAGTAACCAATTTGTGGATACGAAGGCCCATTTGCACATTAGCCCTCAGCTTCATATATGCCTTAACTCACACAGCCAACATAAAAACTTCTTAAGGACAGAGGCACAGAAGTGAGCACCTACAGTAAAAACAAAACAAAAACTTATCATATATCATATATTCTTGCCACTTGGCAACAGAGCAAGACTGTTATAACTGATATTGATTATTATCAGTGGACAAATTTGCAAAGCATAGTTTTATGAGTATAAAAATTACAAAATAATTTACTTTATAAGATAGAACAATTTGTATTCATATGTGTGTCTCAATCATAGAAACAGTAATTGTCCCCATGTCTTCTGGACTTTGTCTTCAATTCTAAAACCATTTCTTAGAATTTGCTCCAGGTGTTGGTAGCTACACCTCTGGAAAGATTCTTTGGTTGATACCAAACGCATTTGACTTATTTCTTTGGAAAGCTTCATTTTGTCCCTGGAGAAATGCAGCCTGGTTAAATGTCTGAACAAATTGTTATTATTATTTTACTGAGCAATAAACTAAAGAGTGATTGAGTTACCAGTGACTCGCAGATATTGTTAAGCCTGGAATCACATGGTTGAATGACCAGCTGGCCCAGAACTTGGGTGATTCAAATGATCCAGACGACAAGTGAGCCAGGAGCGAGAATGCCTCACACCAGTGCAAACGCAATTAATGTCAACAAAATCCCATTAAATTTATCGGTTGCCTGGCTTCTGAAAATGGTGGAACCAACCCCTTTCCTGTGCCTGCAGGGCAAATTCATTAGATGGAAAACAGCATCTTGTTAACCATGGAGTTCAGCCAGGTAAACATGGGGGGCAGTGCCAAGTCCTTGAGACACTTACAGAGGGTCAACCTAGAAGGAGGAACCACAGGGAGGAGATGCTGGACTTCCTTTATGACACACAGTAGGTTCTTCCTAAACAGTGTCTTCTTAGAGTCACCTTACAAGATGGAAAGAATATATCTGATTGTCATTCAGTTCATAAAATAATGATTATATACGGCGGGGGGACAGAGACAGAAAGATTGAGATTTTGCCTACAAGTTAATCAAAGACTCCCACTTTTTTGTTTTTTGTCTTAGTTTCTGTCTTAGTTTTTTGTCTTAGTAAGAATGATTCATTTGTGCTGACTCAACTTCAACCATATTCACATCAGATGCTCTTATGCCCACAATTGGCAACTCTGTGGAACAAAACAGAACTCGCTGGCCCCAAAAGTCATCAAACCTACAATTTTGACTTCTGTTCTATGTGCTCACACCAACTGGGTGAACATTGCTGAACTCATCCAACGCTAAACACTCTTAAATGATCCATCATTGTGCTATTTGGCAATGGGGTGGTGCCGCTTCTGAGATAACTCATGCCGCAAAACTCAACAACACTCCCCTTGTTCAAAGTAGAGATGATGAACAGTGAAAGGGCCATGTCACAGAGGGCTTTTGTGTGAACAGACTTACCACCCTGGGGTAAGAGAAGTGTAGCCTGGAGAATGGTTTGGCTGGATAAGGCAAAAAAAAAAAAAAAAAAAAAAGCCAAACAATCAAAAAGCATGGATTTTCAAAGAGATCATTTTCCCAGCCATGTCTGATTCTGAATTCAAACCCTTAGATTTCACGGTGTTCTATCAAAAATCTACTGAAATCAATCCAAAACAGAAAAATATTGAGGTGAAATGTTACCAGCATCAGAAAAAATGTCAAAAATACTTCTTTTCTTATAGAGCAAATGTTCTTTGTTGGTTAAGTTGCTAATGCAAGATGTAGCACATTATGGCAGTGGGAAATTAAAAAATTATTACTCATTCATTGAGTCAAAGCTTATGTGTCTGGCATTGCTCAAGGCTCATGGGATAGTATTTCTTTGTGCTCTTGCTTAATTTTTTTTTTCCATTTTTAATAGTGATTAGTGCATGAAGAACATCTGGGAGGGTAATGAGACAGAATTACAGAAGGGAATGGCAGAGTAATCCATTTAAGAGAGGGGAATCCCGTGAAATCTAAGAAATTTGAGCTACCATAACTCCCAGTGTCCTTTAATTTTTGTATTTTCACTTAGCCCATGGGAGAAATCAAAATTCATACATGATGGCTGATCATGGATCTTTAGGGATAACAAAAGTTGACATGTGATTAACATTCTGAAGAAAACTAGATTCTGGTTATTCTTAACATGCCATGACAAGGCTCTTCTGGAATGCAGAGCAGAGGCCATTGAGGAACAGGGGGAAAAGCGGGATGAGGTCGAAAATATCAATAGAACCAAGAAGCAGCGAGCATAGGGCAAGGGGGAAGGAGGGACAGAGAATATACCTCATGGCCTCCTAGAAGAAGTTCTGAAATGTAATGAAGGAAATAGAGGGAATATCTGTACATTAAACTGCCTGGAGCCTTCCCCATATTCTCCTAGACTCCTGAGCCTTTCTTTCATAGCATTTTTTCTTTGCTGATTTCGATGTTACCAAAAAAAATTTGTAGAGTTTCACTGCTGATTTTTTCTCCAGACCATTTGCTCATTCTTGCCCTGGGCACCCTAATCCATAACTATTGTCAGCTGAGCCAAAACTAGCTGCTTCACGATTTACCGACTTATGCAGTCTCCACAGCATCGATCCCAGCAGAAATGTAGATCAGCTTTTCCAGGGAGAGCCTCCCTCCTGAAGAAATGACCCTAGGCCAGTGTCCACCACAGAGAGAAATCCCGAAGAACTCACCTGGGTGTGCAGGCAGGAGTTGGGAGGGTCACAGGGTCTCACAGTCCATGTGACACACCATAGGCAGGAGCTCATAACTTGCTGCTCCCAGCAGTAAGACAGTGATGTGTCAGCTCTTTTCCTCTCTCCTTGCCAACTAGAATTCATTTGGATCCTAGAAAATGGAGGAGACCAGAAATCAGTTTCCCTTATTACCCACTATCATATACCGCTATTTTGGCAGAACTGGGCCCTGCAGCTGTGTGGAGGGCAAAGTCTATTTCAGTCCTGCCATCAGAATATCCAGCAGCCAATGGACAGGGGGGTTCGGTGTAAACTGGGGGAGGGAGAGGGAGCGGGTTGGAGGGGTGTATGCAAAAGATACAGGCACTGAAGGGGTCAGAGGTCTGCTAAATAAAGTGAACCTTTTCTTCCACGATTTGTTTCTCCTTGGATCACCATTGGCAATTGCACCCCAGATAAGAGGGAGCCCAGCTGGGGCCACTCTGCAAGTTCATGAGGCAGGGGAAACACACAAGCTGGGCATATGCATGATTATTACAGGAAGAGGAAAACACTGGAACTATTTAGCATCTCATGGTTGGACAGGGCTATTGCTGAGACAGTGGTGGGGAAGAGACAAATGGGGTGGGGAAAATTCTCTAATCTTAATAAAATCTGTTTGCCTCTTCCAGTAAGTAAAATATTGAGTGATTACGTGTCTGACCCTTTAATATCATCAGTGGAACGAGAGAGATCTAAAGGAAAATATTTAGAAAAACAGAGTCTATATTTTGCCTTGCCTGTGTTATGCCTTAATAGGTTCTCTCATTAGCAATAAGCCAATTCTATATAAACAATGTTTTCTCAGCAGGCAACAGCAAGTTAATAAGGTACCCTCAACACTCCTTAGAGCTCCCAGGCTTTAAGAACCTACTTAAAGAGATATTGTGGCTTTCCTGGTACTCGGCACACATTTCAGTGGGGAATAAATGGGTGTGTGCGAGGCAGTAAAGAGGAACTTCCCTTAACAAGCTTACTCTTTTCTGCCACTGTCCACTAACATGGGGAAACATGAGCAAAGCAATTATTCAGGCTTTACCTGCAAAAGGGGAAATATCATACAACCATCAGAATATATACTACAAAGGTTAATTCATTTTTTCTTTCTAAATGACTTTTTTTTCTCAATTTGGGAAGATGTTTTTAGTTCTTATTTTAAACAGATGTAACTTCTGAGGCGGGCAGATAAGCCATCTGAGTTTTAAAACCATAAGTCATTATTAATTGACTTTAGTTATCAAATTAAGTTTCTTCAAAGATCTGCTGACTTACTAAACCCCAAATCGGACACAATTGCTTTCCTGCACCTTTCCACTTGTCGATCAGCTACACAATCTGATATTTGAGATGGATTCTATTTGCCTTTGCCCAAAACTTCTTAGAATCAAACTGGATAATTATTTCCCTTTCCTCATCCTATTTAGACTTTGTACTTCCCTGGGAAAATGTAAACAGTATTTGCAAAACAGCTTAAGGAAAACCCAATTATTTCCCTGGTTTTATTAACTTGATATTTGTACCAGTAACTCTGTACTTCCACACAGATCAATAAAGTTTATCACTTGTTTCCTTCATGGATTGGCTGACATGGTCAGGGCAAAATTTAATGTCTTAAGGTCAGTATTTTGGAATTATAAAAATGATTATTTTGGACATTCTTTGTAATATTACATACAGTTCAAAAGCCAACATCTAAAAATCTATTCCCCTTTAAGAAATGTCATAATTATCTTCAATTATAAATTTAAACACATATAAATCTGTATTATGATTGGTATACTTTAAATCAGTTACTCACTTGGATCTTTAAGAATACATTTAAAACCAGTATAGTATAGGAATACTTGCTATTGATCAAAAATAGAAAGATTTCACAATATGTGTTAACCTACATCTTACTTACCTTTCTTTTTCTTTATCTTATGAAATAAAAATGTTTTGCAAAATAGGATTGCTACTCCCAAGCCCCCCTAGACAAGCCATTAAAATCAAAATGACAATCTTATTAGCTTTAACTTTAATTGGTTTTATACAATCAGTGCTTTAAGTTGTTAGGTAAATTCACTTCTCAATATATTTTAAGTATTAAAAGATTACCTTGATGTCTAATAAAAATAAAATATTTGTATTAGCTTTAACTAAATTGTTTTTTCTTTTTAAGCATTACTTCCCCTCTGTCTTTCATTTTATGTTATATGCACTGCGAGTATTCCCAATATTTTTAGAGTTTCAATACCCTACTGTTAACATATTTATGTTTTACTTGAAGAGAATTGAAACATATTTTAAAAGTTGAAAGTTTACCTCATTCCTTCAGAAAACTCAGTACACGTCAATGTATCACAGTATCAGGATTGATCATCACCTATTTAGGGGCTGAATCATTCATATCCTAACTAGAATTTCTCATCTTTCTTTTAAAAAACTTTAAACAAGTATAAATAAGTTTTAATATCCTGAAGATTTTAATAGGAAAATCACATGTGTATGGTTATACTTCTAATAATTAAATCATTTTAAAGCTAGAGGAATACGTTAGCTCAAACATTATTTTGAGGACAAGAAAATGGAGCTCCAGTATATATAATTTATTATGTGGCAAACAGACAAAATGCAATCTTGAATTAATTCACTGACACTATTCCTTGAGTAACAATAACAACAAGACTGTAAACAGTTTCAATGTTTGTTATATTGTTATTTGTAAATCCAGGATAGCAATCACAACTAAAAAAAACAAAAAAACAAAAAAAAACACAAAACCTTAAATTTTACATTCTACTCAAAGATACAGGTGCTCTGACTATACCAAATCTGTTCTCACTAATACCCAAAGCAAGGGTTCTTAACATCGTTTTTGGTTTTGTTTTTTTTATATTACATCACATTTCACTGACATTTAAGTTATCAACCATCTGAAGGGACTAAAACCAGGCCCCCCTTACTACTCAAAAAGATAACATTCACAGTGATAATGTGTCAAGCAACTGTACTCGAGTGATTTTGATTTTGATTCATTTCTTGTCTTTACAACTTTCATTTTGACCTTTTTCAAATGGACACAGAAATGAGTGAGTGGTGTGATTTCTTTTCATTCATTGATTTGGCCATTCTAAACCTTTCACTGAGTGCCTAATATACGTGAAGCATTATAAAATGGCATGACCACAAATAAAGCAAATATTGCCAAAGTTTCGATTAACAAAAACAGCATGTCTGGAATGAGATAAGTGCTGGCTCAGCTACTACTAGAGTATCATTTTCAGCCATCCTCTAATAAGGATGCACCTGGGGTGCACTAAGAAGCAAGTGACCAGAAATCGTCAGCCTGCAACTTCCGGATGGACTAGGAATGTGTAGCCAGGGAGGAGATACCTTGGTTGTAATAAACTTTGCCTTGGAGTTCCTCAACTGTATCATTTAGTTAAGGCCTCCCCTATTTTTCTGTAGTATTTTTTTTCTCAGACTTAGTTGTGCTTTCTTACTTTTCAAGCATATATAACTATGTTTATTTTACTTCTCCCCAATGGATACACAAAACTGCAGGATCTCCTAACAAGTCCTCTATGTTGAACACTTTCAGGGCATCATTTACCAGTGGGAAGGAATACTTTCTGCTCGTTTGCCTTTTAGCATTTATGTTTCCTTCTTAACTACACGTCAAGCAAGAACGTTTGAGCTAACCCAAGTCCTGGAATTGGGTAAGGATTCCTCTGTTTACTTAAAATATTTGTTTAAGTTTTGCTTCATTTGTTTAAATACCCAATAAACCAGTAGTAATTTCTTTAGTTCACATTCTATGTTTAAACCAAAAAGAAAGAATAAGTATGATCATATTGTGAAGTATATATGGTAAAGAATAAACTGGACTTTAAATTTATCACAGAGAGAGTTTGATCATCTATCTCCAAGGTTAAGTTCTTTAACTGTTCATAAAATTTGCCAAGCTTTCCTCACATCATTAGGATGTTTCAAATTGTAACCCCCAAAATCATTTGTTTTTACCTCAATAATTTTATCTTGACTCTTTTTAATAGGCATGTGAATGTCTTTCAATCCCTAAGTCTCTCCAAGACCAAACTAAAAGGAAGACAGAGAGAGAAAATAAAAATCCCTTTCTTTGCCTCCTTCTAACCAATAATCGCTTATGAAGTTCATCAGCTATGAAGGACAGAAAAGGCAGAATCACAGACACAACTGGAAAAGTAACAGGAGGTACATTTCCATCCCACAGACTAACTTTGTGATGTGCTTCATTTAGCAGTTCCCAGGCCCAGGTGGAAATTCTCTAGCATCTTCTTAATAAAGTTTCATGTTGGGAAAGTTTCATGTAACAAGTCATGTTTATTATGTCAGCAGATTTTTTTTTTTAAGCTAGACTAAATTCATAGCACCACGCATGATTTACAATAAAACCTTAATGAAACGCTGAGAACTGTTTAAAAAGCTGCAGCAGGTTTTTAAGGAAATTGGTTGTCTGTATTTACTCTTTGAATTAAGTGTTAAAGAAAAACAGAATAATAATATATAAAACCCTGGTTTCCTGTAACAACAATAATTATGATAACTAACATCTGTATATGGCTTTACAGTTTGCAAAGTGCTTTCTCATACATTACCTCATTTAGTAGAGTGGAAATGTTTAATGATCCCAGTCTTAAATTGCATTTCATTAATGGTATATACATATAATATTAATAAGCACATATATGTAATATTATATATATAATATTAATAAACACATTTAGAAGAAACTATCTTCATAAGCACTCTGCACTAAGCCTGAACAAAAGGGAGATAGGGAGAGGTTGAAATCCAATATCAACCCTATAAATCAAATAAATGTCAAATAAAATCTGTCAAACACTTCATAATGTTCTGTGCATGTCATCAAACTCAAGGAGAATCCTGCTGTGTCACCTCAGAATGATAAAGAGATCTAAGGTGTGAAAGCACGCTGTTAGAAGTTTCATTAAAGCCTTATTTACTAGTTCCAAATGAATTTACATTGATCTTTTAAACTATTGCTAACCACAAATGCATTAAACCTAAACAGTCTTCATTTACTGAGAAATAAATGTGTCAGCAGAATCATGACTTTTGTCCAATGTTGTTCCGGCATTTAATTCACAAAGGCTCAGTGTTAAGCTTTTTATTGCTTGTTGTGCTAAAGCCTGTTCATTTAATTGCAAATATATTTCCTTCCTGCATCATTATCAAAATTGTTATCTTAAGGAAATATTGTTTTTAAATAATCTGCTGGAAAACCAGAGCCGTACATGGGCTTATTCCGAATAATTGTTTCCTGCTACAGATGAGTTAGCAATTAAGTGGTAACGTTGCTTAAACAATTTTAAAAGGAGGTGAGGATAAAAGGAATCGGACTGTGCTGATCCAAGTTATGAGAAGCTTTTGGAGTTTTTTGTGGCGTCAACATGCACTCGTGGCTGATTTAATCAATACTTACCTGTTTACATTTTAAAAGAACTTGGTTAATGGTTCCAGGGCCTAATCTAATAAATAAATCATTTCAATGTAGGTTGTAATTTTGTGAGATATGAATTAATTCAAAAGTGACCTTAGTCTTTCTATCCTTGAAATGGAGACAAATGTTCTGCATTTGAGCTTGACCTTGACCTTGATCTTTCCTTATATTAATTTGGGGAAAGGACTTGCAGCCAGGTTTTAAATTAAATGATGCCAGTAACACTATTATGGGCACACCCATACTAAAGAAAAAAATAAAGATGCTATAATAAAATAAGGAAGAAAATGCATTATGTGACTTCAGAATCTACAGTATTTACATGCACTTTTTTAAAAATTACTTTTCCATAGCTAAACACAACAGGCATGGCATGTTTGTTTCAGTGGGTGAAAATGTATCGACAGCATCCCCCATTCTTCATTAGTTAAACCCACGCTAAATAGATTGCGTCATATTGTCCATTAAAGGAGACTTACAAAAAAAGGAAGTGCTCTCCAGGAGATGACTCCAGTTCAACAGTATTTAAATTCAAGAAAAGAGCAATTGTTTACTGAGGAGATGACTATGGGAAACATTTTGGAGAGTGTTCATTATTTCTGAGATTAGTTCTATTGCTAACAATGGAGAAAGACACGATTTCTAGAAATTAAAGCAATATAAATCCAATGGGAAGCAACCAAGATAATTCAAATATGCAGTTAAAAAAAATTGCCAGTAATTGACTGGTGATTATTGCTCTATTTCAAAAGAATTGAGCAACCCTCCATGCACCTGTTACTACATGGAATTATCCAGTTTATTTCAGAGGGAAACAGTAAGAAAATGATTGGCAGGGTGGGACCAGAAATGGGTGGACCCCTGCAGTGGACCAATGAGCAATTAGCCATGTCCTGCGTGGCCAAGACTGGGGAGTGACAGGAAGACACAAATGATAAGAGTCTAAGGTAGTAAACACTCACAGCCTACCTTGATTCATCCTGTCCTTTGTCCGCCATGGAGTATCGGGAACATGGGCAAGGGACAACCATTCCCAAGGTACAGGGGGTACCCACCCCAAACTTCGATAATACATCTACATCCCAGCAGCCTGGAAACCAACAGACTTGTCTAGGTATTTTCTGGGTTTCTCCTGCAGAACTCACAGAGCGAAGGGCTCCAGGAGTGTGATGGAAATGGGTAGCAGCTACTAAGTAGTTAGAAAATGGAGTTAGAAAATGGGTAATACGGGAAAGAGATTTCTATTTCTGCAGTCAGCTGAGCCTCTGAAACCTGGCTTCCCAAGAACGAAGGTGTTACCTTGACAAGGCTGTTGATGGGCATCCTCTCACATCTCTGCCCACATGCATCTTTCAACGTGCTCTCCCACCATCACAACCTTCTGCTGCTGTCACCCTCCTCCTCTCCCGGGTCTTACATGGTTATAAATATTGCAGTTCTCGAGCACTTGTGTGCCCTTCCGCCGGCTTCAGAACTCCTCTCCTTGCTTGCTCACCTCCACACACCTCCCACCACTTTGATTTTGACCTAACATTACCTGTGGTTTTCTTGTAGCTTCCACCATCCATTTAGGTACTCCAAAGGATTGGATTATTGTCTTAAATGCCTTCTTGAAATCAAGACCCAATTCTTTTCTGAGGTCAAAGCTCAGATTTCCTCTTGCTCACAGTCACCTGCTATTTGGCAATCTTCTGCCATCCATAAAAGCATCCTGCATGTGCTAAAGTGTACCGCAACATACTAACTCTTTGCTGCTCCCAAGCCGAAGAGATGCTCAGTGAGGATTTACCTTCTCCTCTCTGGTCTTACCTTAGCCGTCACTGGACGCCAGGTATATGCATGCACTTCATATGTTCTCATTCTCTGAAAATCCAGGCGAACAATGTCAGTATCACCAGCTACCTAATTTTCCCTTAAGAAAATATATGTTTAACAAAACTTTAGGACCTTCTGGAGATCACAGCTGAGGAAAAGTCTCTGAGTACTTTGAAACAATTAATTCGAAAACCTGAGACACAGTATACATTCTTTTTATGAACAACAACATGGATGTTTACATTCAAGTTCCTGCCTAGATGTGGACACAGATGTCTCAAGCTGGTAACAGGCAGAGCAAATCAGACTGGAAAGTGTGTTTTAGCCCACACAGGCTAATTCGTATCTTAAACTGGTCTGGATCCAATACATAAAAAGCTGATGACCTGACAACAGAGACCATGTTCCCATACTTTCTGTAGTGACTGGGCAGACATTGTACTCTTCAGATACAACATATGTTTTACAGGACTTGAGGAACCCAGCCCACTTCTCTCAAACATATAACCTGTGCGACCCCCAGGGAGACTTGAATGGTCCACCCTTGATGGATAAATTTTTTGAAAGTCAAGAAAATTTTGATGAATAAGAAATAAATAGATTTTTACTCAGTGTGCTTTTGGGAATCCTCTTAATAGCTTCATTCCAACAACATCCCAATCCAGTGACTATATCTGTTTACTTTTTCTGATGATGAAACAGGGTTGGTCCCTTTGCATATCTGGCATCTAAGAGAAACCATGAGCATCCATCAAGGGCATTAAGTGTTAACCTCACTTTCACTTTATGAGTTTCGGGCCATAGGCTCGCGGACCAATCCAACTGTTGATCCATAAACAGTGTCCCCATCCTGAAGAGTATAAAGTGAGGTTAAGCACAAGAAACCACCAAGAGCATCTCCTTCAAATATTTACAAGGCTGTAATATATGTATGTGTTTTATGTCTTGGTCAATATGTCTGATTGGTGGGAGTTCCATTTTTATGAGTTCCAGGTGCTTTAACTCACGAGCTTTTTATTCACATCTAGAATATAGGTATATATATTTCCAGATACAATCTTATCCAGCCACTTCAGATGTTAGTACTAACAATTTCAAGAATATTCAAGCAATAGGATGGAACAGATTCCTCTAGAATGAAACCAAAACAATATTAATAACAACCATAAGACCAAGATGAAACATTATGAGAGCCTCATTTGGGAAGCTTATCTAAAGAATAAGCCATTTATTAATGAGTATAAACCCTATTTATACATTCAATCATTCCCATCTTCAACTCATTGCTCTACTTTTTCTTTCAATATTTTATTTCTATATGATGCCCCTTGATCCCTCAGTAGGTTTCATTGGAAGGGTATGCTCTTTGAGAAAATAAGATCAATAATGTTATCACTTTCAACTGCGCTATCATTTTCACAGATCCAAGTTGAAATGAAATCAATTATGAGAACAAGTAGCACTGTTTTATTACTAATGAATGAATTTAGCATTGTTTCCCATATTCCCACCACTTAAAATGGAAGAAATAGAGCAAATGTGGTCCAGAGAAAGCTCAAATAGTCCAGGCTAATGGTGGAAATACTTAAGTATCATCCGTATACAGCTAATATAAACCAAAGTGGTTTATTACTACTGTTTTGTGATTTATGACTCACATTATGACTTTATTTTGAAATGGTTGCATGAAATATTAATGTGTGGTGAAAGAACACACAAGAAGGAGCAGGGATCATGTTCTATCAGATGTTAGGCTGCTCAGTGATTTATTCCTCATAATACACTGAACTCAAGTCTTAGTATCCTATTTGCTCTCTTATTGTAATCAGCCCCTCATATTCAAACTTTTCAAGGTGAGGTAGCGTACTTTTGTTCCTAGATTGTAGGTTGTGTACTGTTAATTTTTAAAAGGATGGAGTGGTTTATAACAAATGTGAATAATTTATAGCAAATGTTCTCAGCATTGATTAGTGTTCTTTAGAAATAGAATGTCTTCTTGATATGCATCACTCCTTTAATGCCTTATGAAAAGTCAGAAGACCTATTACTGCACTGCTTAATGGACAAATCAACTTTAATTTTAGTCATATATAATATGAAAGATAAGTACCTATGTTTTTCCCTGTTTGGGATTTGCCAGGCATTAACACTGAACATTAGCTCAAAGCAATCTAAAGAGAAGTTAACAATAGAACACAATTGCTCTCCCTTGGAATTTACATTTGATCTGGTTTCTCCAAACTTTGGGGTGGATGGTTTCTGAAATTTTTCATTTTGCTGCACTTTAAGTCATTCTGAACCTCACTTTGCAAAGCTCGAACTTGGGGACTTAAGTAACAGATTCCACAACAACTTTACTGAACAAGTATTTTAATTTATACAGTTTCCTATTTCATTTTAATTTGATCAACTGCATCCAATGCATGAAAAACAGTATCTTTTTGAATCATCATGAAAGTTAACATGGTTTGATTTTTATAGTATTGAATTCACCAATTATGATTTTATCATATATATTTAAATGTCAATTATTGGTAAATAAAACATAAAATAATAATAGTTGACACTGTTCTTTCTATACAAATGACATACACTGTCCAAGAGCTTTACATATATTAACTGACTTTATTCTCTCAATAACCTGTAACATAAGTACTGTTGTAAGGCCTGATATACAAAGAGGAAACTGAGGCACAGAATCAGTAAGTAACGTGCCCTAGTGACACTGCCAGTCGCGGAATTCGATTTAAGAAAGTAGATGGCTTGATTTCAGAATCTATGCTCTTACTACTACACTATTCCTATTGTCCTTTGCTCAGAAACATTTAGCTTCAATGCCCTTTGTATAAACACAGAAAAATGAAAAGATCCAATGATCTGGACCTTAAGAGTACAAAATCTAACTTTATGAAGGACCAATGTTAAGAATTAGGTTCAAATGGTGAAAGGGGAAAAGGACAGATTTTGCTTTTGAAATTCTTCAACATGTCCTTGAACACCCATGGTCATCCAAATGGCAAGATGGCTACCTCCTGCATGCTCCAGGGATAGTAAAATGTACAGCAAGAGCACTAGGTCAGAGAGAACTTGGCTATGAATACACATCATACTGGGCAATCCTGGGATTATCGCTGAACTTCTCCGAGACAAGATTTCCATTTCCAAACTAGATAATAACACCCACCAGTAAAGCAGCTGTGACAATAAGAGCTAATATAAAGTGTCTGGCATATAGGTACACAGTATGTTATGATATATATCTGTTGTCATTGTTTTTGTTCTATCAATTTTATTCTTTCAGCAAGCCTACCCTCAGACCGAGTCACTGCATGAGGGCAGGGAACTCAGCCCTTTTATGATGTTAACCCCTAAGCTCTTTAGTTACCCTTCCCGCCTTGCTCCTGCCATTCAAACTTACATTGCAACTCACTCAGTTAAATTCACATGCATTCTTAACTTCCAATAGCCATTGGAAAAATGATACAAGAGACACTGAGAAGGCAGAGGGACTATGTGATGTCCTACACAAACACATCTCCACTCAGGGAAAATCCTTTCAGGGAAGATGCTTTGCTCTTACCTCTGTGGTTCGGTTGGTAAATGTGTGACCACTGATATTCCTTTTCTGTGAATTCCTCGTCCTTTCCCAGCAAGATAAGAGCTTGAGAGAATAAATAGAAGAAAATCAAAGAGAAAAGAATCTGTATGATTTGGGAAAAGAAGACAGATGGAAACCAAGAGGGAGAAGAAATGAAGAAACGAGAGAAAGGGAGAAAAGGTTTCTTCCAGAGAGAAAGTAAATCAATAGTAGACATTTCCGCACGGAATAACTGTGATAGAAAGAGGATGCAAACTGAGCCAGGCTCATTTATTGTTTTGTGCATCCAGTTATAGAAAGTAGCGTGAATAGCAAAGGGTTCTGCCACAAACATGGAATTCCCAAAAATGAAAAAGGGCAATTCCACGGAAGTGAAGCATTGCTGCAGCCTTATTGTATTATTATTATTATTATTATTATTATTATTATTATTATGAAAAAGCACATCACATGCCAAGGGCTGTTCAACTTTGTAACTTAGCTGCCCTAAGACAAGGGTGTGAGGTCTAAATGCTCCTCCCTCGACCTAACCAGAAGTGGATGGAAATATAACCCTTTATCCACCTGAGGCTCCAAGGAATGATTTTTAAAGTTGCCTCCATCTCTTTAGATGTATGCATGAGGGGAGAAATGGCCTGCGTAGAGCAGTTTTTTAAATGCTGCTTAATATTTTTCCTTTATATCTACCATCTTTTTCTTTTGACCGTTTTGTGTCATAAGGATCGTGACTACTTTTTTTTTTTAAACTTTTGCTACCTCCTTTCTCTCATCTTTCTCTCCCAATTTTAATTCTTCCCTGAGAACAGATAAGAACCCCAGACTTCAGTCTAGACTTCCCATAGCTCCCCCTCCTCCCCCACTGCAATGACCCAATTGCCTGATTGTGAATGAGTAAGTGTCACGGAAAAAAGGTCTATGTACATAACTACTAACCTATGCTCCATAATGGAAAGTTTTAAAGCCAAAAAGACTACTTTGGAAGGGACCTTCAAGATGGTGGAGGAGTAAGACATGGAGATCACCTTCCTCACCACAAATACATCAAAAATACATCAACATGTAGAACAACTCCTACAGAACATCTACTGAATGCTGGCAGAAGACCTCAGACTTCCCAAAAGGCAAGAAACTCCCCGTGTACCTAGGTAAGGCAAAAGAAAAAAGAAAAAACAGAGAAAAGAATAGGGACAGGACCTTCCCCTATGAGAGGGAGCTGTGAAGGAGGAAAAGTTTCCACACACTGGTGCAGACAAGGGGTGGGAGTGGGGGAAGCTTTGGAGCCACGGAGGAGAGCACAGCAACAGGGATGCAGAGGGCAAAGTGGAGAGATTCCCGCACAGAGGATCGGTGCCGACCAGCACTCACCAGCCCAAGGCTTGTCTGCTCACCCGCTGGGATGGGGAGGGGCTGGTAGCTGAGGCTCCGGCTTCGGAGGTCAGATCCCAGGGAG